TTTTTTCAATTCTTTTTTTCATGTATTATTTTTTGTGGATTAAATAAAATAAATTTCTTACATGATTTTTAATACTATATATACATCAACATCAAAATAGAATAAATAATATTTGAAGAATTGAAAGTATATACAAAACAAAGACTTATTAAAATCCAAATTTTTGAAACACTTCAGAGTATACAACATTTTTGGTATGGTTGCAAGAGTTTCTATTGTCATCTAAAATAAACATTTTTAATTATGTATTTTTCTTCACTCGTGAAGGAACAACATAAAATTAATCATAAGTGAATGCTGACTTAGTTAAAATAATCTAACAAAAGATAATGTTTCACCATAACTTTTGTTAATAGTCATAGCAAAACATAAAACTATTGGGAATTGTCTTTTTTGAAACTTTAGGGGGTAGCCTTGGATCATGTGGTACCAAATTTATTCGAGGTATGTAAACCTTTTTCCCGTCTCGATTTCTCGAAACCACGATTGCACGGTTAACATTTTTTTGTACCTCTTCAACAATTAATCTTGTACCATTATACAATCCAAATAACATAATCAATACACTTTTTTTCAAAACTATTTTTTGAATTGGTTTGGGATCCCCGAACATCTGGACATTTGATTTCATTCAAAAATTTAAATGTTATCCAATAAGCATCAACACCTACATTGGCATCTGCTTGCCATTAAGAATCATAACTCAATTACTCATTTTTCATCACTGAGAATGAGGAATAAGACAAACTCATTTATCATTTCAACAACTTCGAGAGTGGGTGCTAATGGTGCCTAATCTTAAAAAAGGAATATTTTTTCATATTCTCCAATAATTTCAGATAAGTGAATTCCAGTACTATACTCTTGGGAGGATAACTTATGTCAAGAATCAGGAATCCAGTCAGAATTTTAACGTCAGCAATTCCACCAATCACTTGACCAAGCTTTCCATCTCCAATTTTGATTATCTAATCAGAAAAAGGTTGTGTATCCCTATCTAGGTAAGAGGACATAGATGAATGCAATATCTTATTCTTGCTCAACGTAAAAACTTTACAATACAACCTCTATTTTGGGGAAATCACTGTAGCACCTATAGTTTTCTCTCTTGAAGCTTTGGTAAAATTGGAAGGAAGTGGCAAAAATTACTTTCGAGTACTAATATTTTTCCTCTGAATGGTTCATTTCTAGAGTTATTACTGTAGAACCTCAATATCTCTCTCATTGTATGATCCAATACCTCAAAAACAAATCTATTCACCACACATGCTTCATCTCATATGATTCCACTTGCTTGTTAGATTAATTCTGCTTTCGGACCCCCCTTGTTTGATAGCACACATTGAGCACTCAGTTAAAGCCAGAAAGATTGAGAATCTCGAGTGTGCTGTTCTTCCACCATGCAAAAGCAATGTTGCAATGTCACTGGATGCAACATTCAAAACAGACTTGCATACCATTCGTTCTTGAAAAGTAGACATTGGTTTCTATATAAATGTTTTCCCAAGTCTCCCGTAACCATATATAAAAAAGAAACCTCCTCTTTTAGATATTAGATTTTGATTATCACATCAGATATCTTTCTTTGATCTTCATTCATCGTAGATAAATATCCTCTAAAATCAAATGACATTTTTTCTTTGTCAGAGTTCAAGTTCTAAATCAAGAAATTATTTTCAAATCTATTAAGAAGACTATCATCTGGAAATGACATAACACTGAACTCCTTTAAAAATATATAATTTTGATATTATTTTTAAACTTTTCCTTTACTTTATAATAAGGTAATAAGGTATAATGTGTAGGATAAATGATTTTAGGGTGTGCCTTTTTTCTAATTTGAAAAGTTTTGTGGGACGCCTTTCTTTGTATTTGAAAAATTTAATGGGACG